AGGGAGGGAGAGAGTGAGAGGTAAGCTTTCAAGTTTGACTGCTGGTGGCGATCGAAAAGGTGACGCTGGAGAATGAGTAGCCAGAAATCCTTACCTCTATTCTTCGGTCATGAGGTTCCTGTACATCGTTCTCCACAGACGGATTGGATTTCAAGTTCGACCAACGGTGGTGATTGAAAAGGAGATGCCAATCCGACCTCTCTCTCTCTCTCTCTCTCTCTCTCTCTCTCTCTCTCCTTCTCTTTCTTCTTAATGGCCCTCTCCCATCTTACAACTCTATCATTGGACGGAAATCGTCTTTTGGGTGAGCTCTCGTTAGATATAGTTTCGTGGAAGTCATTGACTTCTCTGAACATTAGTAGAAATCATTTGTCTGGTGACATTCTCCGTGCCATTGGATTACTTCCAAACCTAATTGACCTGGACCTGTTGGAGAACCAACTCTCAGCGATATTCCATTTGAAATTGGTCATCTTAGGCGATATCCCGTTAGGTTGTGTTCAGGCTCTTTGAGGGCTTTGATAACAAGGGCGGCGACCGACAACACAATCGAGACCTTCGCTTGTTTGTTTTGCACGATGAGTTTCACAGTCACCCTAAGGTCCTTCCATTCCTTGGCGGTATCCTTAGCAATATCTTCTTTGACCTTCTTGGGAGAGAGACCAAGTGGCCCAATCTTCGAAGCAAGAGAGCTTGCGGCACTGACCTCACCACTAGTGATGTGTACGTAGACGTTGACGACCTGGGTGGGGTCGAACTTGGGAGGCATGGCTGAATTTATAGAGACAAAACTTAGGGTTCTGGCACTAGTTGGAGGGAAATGAGAAAAAGTCAAGAAGTAGAGCGCCACGAGAAAGTGGGTTGCTTACATTTTCAGTTTTCTGGGTTTGTTGGATAAAGATTTATTTACAGATCACCATCCATTTTCTCTGATATATTTTCTTATCTTTTCTTTTTGCAATATATCAGATCATATTGCTGGATAAGATGAGACGAGGTGCGGTGCTCCGTGAAGCTGCTAGTTGTGCCATAGCCGAGTGCAATCCATTTCTCTCCAGACGGTGGATGCAGAGAGTGTATGACTTGCAAGAAACATCGTATGACCGGCAAGGGAGATGGATAAATAGGGGATTTGGGGTCAAAGAGGTGATCGAGAGGAAGGGGAGAATGAAATGTAGATCCCTTTGTGGTAAGTGAAAAGGGCATTTTCGACCATTAAAGGGTATTTTGGGTATAATTTAACATTAAATCAAACACGTGAGGTCACGTGTAAACGGTTTGTGACGAAGAGTTAACGGGAAGGGATTGCGTGACAATTGTCAGAAACAGTAGGGGTACTTTAAGCGAATACTGAAATGGTAGGGGTATAGTCGGTCAATTTCCTAAACCTTAGGGGTAGTTTAAGAAATTTGCCCTAAATTATAACAAATTTACATTTCAATTTGACTGTTAATTTATTTGAATTATCTGAATTCGATTTGATTATGTCAGATTTCAAACACGATATGGATAATTGAATACCATTTACACTTCTACTACTGATTGCTCATGCGAAGTGTTTTCAGCAAACACTATCTGATTGCCCCATCATCTGGAAATTTGTTTTCCTAATTTTCATTATCTCATACACATGCCGGTGGTGGCTTAGTTCATGGTCATTTTTGAGCCCAGTGAATGGTGTATGAAAGTTCTTGTTCACCTTATACTAAATGCATAAAATATTAAAAATGTTGGGTGGTTAGGCTGAAAGTGGTTTTCATAATTACTTTCTTTATATAATACTTTGGGAGCATAATCATATCAAGGTTCGGTTGCTTGTAAGATATTGTGTATGTGACATTAGTTTGGTGTCTTCTGAGGTTGGTTCGAGTATTTCTTGTAATGTCTCTTGAAAAACTACTGTGTTTCTTGCTACATGAGAACCTGGATATTTTTCTTCTGCTTGAATAGTGACCCAATATATTTGGTAAATGGCTGCTTGAAATTAGTATACTCTATTCAACCTTATCTCAATTATTTGGGATCAGCTATATGTATCCTGTTTTGCCATTTTGTGCTATCAAGGAATTCTTGAATTAGTATTTTCCATCAAAATAATGTACCGATTTTTATTCATGTCAAATTCAGGTCATCCATGGATTTGTGAAAATGGAGTTGCTCCTGACCAAGCATTGGATCCAGCTGTCCTTTCTCGCCTGAAACAGTTCTCTGCAATGAATAAATTAAAGAAGATGGCTTTGAGGGTGAGTGGATATTTGGTGCATTAATTACATTATACAGATGTCCCTTTATGTTTAGGTATATAAAATTACTTGTTTTTTGAGTGGTTCTTCAATCAATAGCATTATATCCCATTTGAGATGATTCCTTTTGAAGAAGGTTTTACTAAGCCTTGTCTTGATTTGTTTTAGCCATCTTATGCTTATTAAATGAGTCATGAGCAGCTTTATTTCATCTTTATCAGTTTGGTATTTTGTTTTTGGGAGATGAATTGGTACCATTCCCATGATTTTCAAGATGATAAATCAAATATTCTTTTGGAGGGGAATCTTATTATCAGTTTCTCTGAAGTTTTCTTATTTTTTGGCTATATTATTAGGTAATAGCTGAAAGCCTCTCTGAGGAGGAAATTGCTGGTTTACGTGAGATGTTTAAGGCAATGGATACTGACAACAGTGGTGCAATCACATTTGATGAACTAAAAGCTGGTTTGAAAAGATATGGCTCTAATTTGAAGGAGTCTGAAATTCGTGATCTTATGGATGCGGTAAGTTCATTTTTTCCGGTAAAGTGGGGTTGTATTATTGCATAGGGATTTTGGGAAGTTAGAGAATATGCTGATAATGTTTATAGCAGACATCCTCACAAAATAAAAAAAGAGGATTGAACTGATTGAGTTTTAAAATTTCAGGCTGATGTGGACAATAGTGGCACCATTGACTATGGAGAATTTATTGCTGCCACAGTTCATCTTAACAAGCTAGAACGGGAAGAACATCTCATTGCAGCATTTTCATACTTCGACAAGGATGGGAGTGGTTATATCACAGTTGATGAACTGCAGCAGGCATGTTCTGAGCATAACATGACAGACATTCTTGTTGAAGATATTATCAAAGAAGTTGATCAAGATAATGTAAGCAATGCATACTATATTCCCAGATATTCTGCTGATATTTGTATAATGATGCATGTTCTATATTTAGATCATCAATACTATCTAGAATTTGAACAAATTTAGCTGTTATGCCTTAACATGCGTTGCTGGAAATGGATTACCAGAAACTTCTTGACAGTATCCAGTGGTACTTATACAATGATGCAGGTTTTATGGTAGATTTTATGTAATTCATTGTAACCTGGTGGGCCTTGTATAGATTTTATGTAACTCATTGTAACCATGCACTATTTTTCATTTTGGACATGGATATAGTCTCCTTTCTTCTCTCCCTTTTCCTTCATTCGAATAAAATCTATCATCATAAATGAGGTAAAGTTTGTTATGCATATTAACAAGATTACCTTTATATGCCTGGGGTAACTCCTTAGGATTATATCACAGTTGAAATAACATTCAATTTTGCACATACTACTTAATGTCAGGTCCATCATAAATTGGCTTTAACTTGTTAAGAATATCACATGTATTGAATAGTATTTAAGAGTTGGGAGATTGGCTGTGCATGTTGAGCAATGTATTTGCTAGAAGTCTACAAGTCTACAAGGCTAATATGTTCCTTGATTATTTCTGATCATCTTTCCTTTTTTCCTCTTTGTTTTATTTTATTTCATTTTATTCTGGAACTTAGATTAAGATTCAAATTTCTTCTGCTTCAGGATGGTAGAATAGACTATGGTGAATTTGTTGCTATGATGCAAAAAGGAAATGGGGGAATTGGAAGACGAACCATGAGGAACAGTCTGAATATGAGCAGGATAGATGCACCAGGATCTCATTAGCCTTTGATTATGCACATCATGTACAGGTATTTTCATATTCCTGTGTTTCTTCTGCTTCATTTTCTTTTCCGTTGTAGAACACATTGGTAATTGTTGCTATCAACTTAAAGAGAAGGATGTGGTTCATCCATAAAACTGGAGGTACAAAGCTTAGAATAGAAGAAACTAGGAAAAATCTTCTAGCTAACTTCATTATGAAGAAACCAAATGCTTTTGATTGTATTGAGCGCTGGGCACAATAATCCTGTCAGCTGAGGGATTAAATCTAATGCTCAGTGAATAAACTAAGGCCTAGTTCGTTTTCCAAGAAGTAGGGGCAAGTAAGTTGGTAGGTCCCACGGAAAAGAAATAAACCTGTGTTCGTTTTCCGTAATAGTGGGTCCCGTGGAAAAGAATGATCCCTGAGTGGCTCATTTATCTGGGGAAGTAATACTCTCATCAGACTTGGGTAAATTACCTATGCTAGCTGAAAATCGCTAATAAATGATGGGATAATATTGCTAATACGTGATGGGATAATATTCCTGAGTGGCTCATTGTACACCTTTACCTGGGGAAAAAAAGAACACTAGCAAGTGCTCTTATTTGGATAAGTGTTTCCTAAGAAACACCTGCCCAGATAAGTGCATTTACCCAGATAAGTCATTTACCGAGATGTGACGAGGCCTCAAAGGAATGTCTACCTGTGATGTATTGTTAATTTTGGTCAGTGCCACCTAGGTATGTGGTATAGGTGCTGTGCGTTCAGCTTTTCTAGAAATCATAGCTGATCAAGGAGGGATGTACATGTCAAGTCCTTGCAACAGGAGAGGGTTAGACATTGTGCCTCAGTAACCTGTGATCAGTCTGTAAATCAACTGTCATCGAAAACACGTAAATCTCCTAATTATTTTGTGATTTCCTGTATTTTTTTTTCAGACATTCCCATCTTAAGATACTTGAGAATTTTTTGATATTCCAATTTCATCTCTGTTGGACATCATTCTGTGCATTTCTGTAACTTGCATTCTTCTACTCAGGGATATTGGCAGGTTGTACAGAAAGGCCGGAAGAGAAGAATCGGTGGTAATGACTTCAAATATGCAAGTTTGGTTGGCATCCAGCTCCGAAACCTTGGGACATATTACAGAAGCTTCCAGAATGAAGGTTTTATGAGTGAGCATTTTGTTAGTCATGCCTGTTTGTGGCCAAATAATTGGAAAAAAGAAAATCCATATGACTTCATTGAGTGTATGCTTCTCCCATTTAAAGTTTGAAGTTTTGTTTGTCAACATCTATTCCTTTGTTTTAAGTTTTAACAACTTAGTTCCCTTTATGCAAAGGGACGGGCAGCTTAACTGGGCTCGACTCAACTCAGCCTTAATCCATCTACTAGGGATCGGCTGTACGAATCCTCTAATGCCATTTGCTCTATCAAGAGCCATGTTTTCGGTCCAAACACTGCCAGTATTGAGTCCGATGAAAGAGGGTTAAAGGAGGATTTTGTCAGTTGCCAACCTTAGCCATTCCAATATCAGTCTGATTCTGTGAATAGTCTGTATACCCTTTCCAATTTAAGGGTCAAATTGGTTGAAGAAACGTTTATCTAAAAAAAAAGGTTAAAAATGGTTGAAGAAACGCTTATCCACAAATAAATAAATAAATAAGAATAGTTGAAGAAATGCTTAAACTAAAGATCAGAAATTCACAATCTGAACGCGTGAGTGGGGAATTGACGCGTTGTTTCTGCCTGCAAATGCTGCCACCCATTAGGGGGTTGCGATCTGTCTAACGGGTCAATGGGATCCTGGGCTCCCGTTTGTGTTTGGAGATGTAAGCAGAAACCAAACAGAAGTCTATCTTAACATCTGGGTAATTACTCGTTTGAAACTTCTTTTTCCGGGCTGTAGCAGATAAAGTCATAAAACTGTACGAGAGAACATATGATGAAATGAGATGGTTATCGTTTGAAACAAAATTGACTAATTGAGCACTCTTTTTTCTTGATAAATAATTGAGCACTCTTTCACAAACTGAGTTAAAGCATTTTGCATTTTGTATCTGATTCTGGGCCAGCAATTTCGGAATGGGCATTCGGCAAGGGCAAGCGCCAGTGCGGTGGTGGGGTGATCGGCTGAATGGGTGACATGGAACTGCGATCTGCCAAACCGCCTCCCCTCATACGATGATGAGCCTTTTTCTGTTTTCTTTTTAACTATATAAAATGTGGAAATGAAGCTTATAAGTTATACCTTATTTCTTTGGGGTAAATTCCTGATTAATTTCCTGTAGGGATGCAACTTTTTCGGGTTAGGGTTGAGAATTTTGTCAAAATTTCAATAGGCTCAACCTGAAACCCAAGCCCCTATTTTATGATTGGAGTGTAAACTGTTAACCCGAGCCAACCTGACTTGCACCCCTACTTTAGGGTTGTGACGAGTTAGTATCAAAACTTGAAATATGTCGTTTCAGTACCTGAACTTTCAAAAATTATCAATTTAATACCTGTCATTAAAAGTCCACCAAAGGCATATGATGTCATATGCAATTTATAACATTCCAAAATTACCTTCTTGAAGAAAATACTGTTCATTATTTTCTTTCTTGAGAGTAAAACCCAGAGCAACGATGGACAGTCCCAAATCAGTAGCTTGGAAGTTCTCTCCTTCATTTAAGTGCATTGGACTAGTGGGAATACTGCATATTCACTAGCTTTTGTGTGAAAAAATACCAGAACAGACCATTCTTTTATCCCTATCCCCCTTGCTTGTCACTGTTACTGCTCTCTACTAATCAAGTTTTAGACGCATTGGCTTCGTGTTACTCCAGCGGTTGCAGAAGGACCAACAGGATTGGGTCCTCCAGGTTTTAATAACAGCGGCTCCAACTTCCCAAACCCAACAACATACAGGAATAACTTAAACTTCAATTCTCAAGGCTATGGTGAGCCAAACGCACCCGGTGTTCCAACTAATGATGGTTCTACTAGCTATGAAGCTGGGCCCGTTGGTGAAAATGTACAGGTTTATTAATGAAGAGGGTTGGGTGGTCCTTGTGCTTGGACTTGTTGGAAAAACTTACATTCAGTAAGTGGAACTTCTGGCAGTGTGATTATCGAACGACCATACCAACGCTTGGTGATGCTCCATTGCCAATCTGCTAAGTGCTTATTTTGTTTCTGTTCTATTAGCACCTGTTCTATTTAGCTGCTCCAGGAGAAATTTGGAACAATATGCCTTGGGCAGCTGCCAGAATTTGCTTCCGATCATTCCTTAGCAGTCTTTTTCAGTAATGGTGACAACGCAAGGGGACACAGGGATGGAAGGATCGAGATGGTTATATTCTTGGTTTTGTTAGTGGATTACATGTAATGGAGTTTGAGAGAGTTTAAATGTTCAAAAAAAAAACAATAATTGTAAATTTGACTGTAAGATTCGTAATCAGCAAGATGATGCTGGGCCTATTTGTCCTATTGGCCAATTGCTTTTGTGGTGATGTTAGTATTAGCAATGTGGATCAAATCCAGGCCTTTCATCGTCTCGTTCTACAGTCTAAGGGGTTTTCTTCAGAATACATGGTCGGTTCCTTAGATTTGGGTTTCAGGTGGGGCTCTGGAACTCTTCGTAAAACTTATTAAATTCTTGTTAAATTTAGAGGTGAAGAACATCTGCAATATTTGTCTGCTCTACTTAAATGTCTGTGGTCATCGTTTGCAGTATTTCCCACCTTTCTGCATCTTTTTTCTTTCTTTTTCATAAATTTCAAGGGGTGTAGATGACATTCAAAGGACATTGTGTCATTTTACAAACTTCTTAACGTCCGTTAATGATTTTGGACTAAACCTGCAATTTTCGAGATAGTGACACGTTTTGAAGTTCAGATACTAACTTGCAACAACCACTAAAGTAAAATATACTAATTAGGAATTTACCCTTTTTTTTTTTGTCGGATAGACCTTGGAAGGGGAAAAGTATGAAGATTTTGATTGTTGACATGGAGCTTTTACTGTGTTCCATACCGAGAGAATGTAATAGCCACTATTGGACGGAGGATCGAACTCTAAAATAGGGCACATATCATATAAGGTATATGACAATATTTATATAGGTGGTGTGCAAATTGGAAGGTGAAAGCTCACTTTGGACTGTGGTGCAGGGTTTTGACTCTAGAGCAAGGTTTAAAGTATGGATACAGACAAATGTGTGTATCATGCATTTTGGGTGACCAATACACTAGTTTTTTTTTTTCGGAGAAGTATGGATTTGCCCAATGCAGATTTCTGATTTACACTGCAGAACTATAAACATTCAAAAGGACCACAACCTACACTCTATGCACCAACTCCCGCCCGTGAATTGGCATCAATTCCGAGCTGGCACCTACCCCGACAGTACTTTGAGCCTATAAATTCTGACCCTGGGCTGATTGGTCATTCTCCTTTTTTTTTCATATTTTTACAGGGGGTCTATAATACAAGTCTACTGGCCACCACACATTGATGTACACGTTGACTCAACCAAACACACAGGAATATTGGTGATATAAGGTACAAGACATGTTTCCAATGTGTGGCTGGTGAACATGGCCAGAAATGTGTTGTGATCATCAGATCCGAACTCCGATAATACTCCCATTTAAAGTTTAAAAACATCAAAAAATAAAAACCCCTTAATATTAAGTGTTTCGGTGACTCCCCTAAAAGATACTATGCACCTTACTTTGAAGTTTGAACCTAGGTCTAGAGATCATCTTCATGGTGTTTTGCTAAATTTTAGTTTTGGACAAGGTCACAAGGCCATCAAATTTAAAAATTAATAGAATAGCATAATAATGAAAATACATTTCTCAAATTCTACATCATGATGTCTTGACCACAAACCAAGATTAGATGGACTCCAGGGGTAAGAATATGCCCTTTCTCTGGTTTAACCTTAGCCATTCTATATGATTTTGTAAACCTTTTTTACACACACATTGAATATAAGTGACGGTAATATTTGATGGTGTGTACAAAAGAAGAAAAAAAAAAGATGGTCTGCCGGCATAGGGTCATTTCCTCTACCAGACAACAATGTTTCTTGCGGTACATAATAAATTGGTGCATGATTAACATCAGAGAAATTTTAGAAAAAGCATCCTTACATGGCTTTACTGAGCGTGCCTGTGAATACAAGTTGTCAATTTCATTTATTTTCTTGTGAAATTGTGTTGATATCATGGGCTATTCATCCTCTGAGGCTACAGTTTCATGTCCAATAGCAATTTCCTGTAAGGCGGAACTAGTGTCAAAGAAGCCAGAAATACAACTAATATTTCTTCAGAACTAGCATACATGCACCGACTTTAAAGACGAAAAATCAAGGCTTTGACCTTCTTTTTTTTGGGTCCGGTCTTTTGGTCTAGTGGGCTTTCACTTGCCAAACGGGAGAATACCGATTTTTGGTCTAGCAGTCTTTGAAAAGTCCACTAGATCTTCTGAAGAGACTTACCAAAGAGGGCAGAAATATTAGGACACCAAACAGCAATGCAGAAAACTAAATCCTAATTGTCTTGGATTTTACAGAATTGGAGTGACAACAGAGCCAACCTTCTGTGTGATCATTCATAATTCATGGTTCCAATTCTGGTTGCCTCAAAAGCAGGAGGATTTAATAACCCCTAAGAGGGAACACTGAGACCTAAAACTTGTTTAGGCAGGACGCAAGATGACAGTGCAGGTGGTGGTAGGAATACCAACCAGCTCGCTATGAAGTAAGAAGACTGAGTATAGAAAGAACTTGCCTTCAGCTTTCCATCTTTGGAGAAAACACATCTTGATGTCATAGTGTGCCCATTGTCTAATAACCATCCCACTTCCCCACAAACTTCACCATTTTCTCTTTCTGTCAATGAACTCCATAATTGTTTTGGGAGAAGTATAAGACCGTGTTTATCTCTTACTGTTCTTTCTGCTTTCTCATCAACAAATTCTTGGAGAATATTCTGTAGGATTCAGGACTAGTTAGAACTACATATGAACCTTGAAACAAGTAACTGTGTGCATGTCAAAATACCCTTTTCATTAGTCAAGTGAATGTTGAATAACAACTACCCTGTGGTAATAATTAGAGAGGACCTGAAAGCATAAATCCTCGTACAACTACAACATTTAAGGGGCTAACCAATTCCAAATGGTCTTGCAATTCGCAACATAGGGCCATTTATATTCAAAATAAGAAACTCTGAAGAGAGGTAAAATTGGACTGTGACTTTGATTCATCAAAAGCATAAACATAACGAGGAGAAGAGAGGACCTCTGATATGGCTTTTTACAAACTACTAAGCACCAAGTTTTTTGAGTTCGAGTTCTTAAGCATGATTCATAATAATGAAGAAGTTGATAATAAGGCATGGCCAATATATCAAAAACAAAAAAAAAAAAGAAGAGAAAGGAAAAGCAACCAACCGAAAAAAAGGGGGAAATATTGAACTCACAGTTTGGGAACCTTGGAAGCTCGCAACAGTCTTAGAACCATTCCATGTGCCGAGAACTTGAGAATCTTTCAAGGCATCGGTGGAAGCAAATCCAGAATCGCGAAGAGCACACCCACCAAGTTGTTCCCCATTTCTGAATGGGCCATACCACTGCTCGCGAAAGACCCTGATATTCTGCAACGATGAGACCGTATCGTCTAAACGCATAACTTGAATTATCCTCACACGCGACTCCCGATTTAGAGGATCAACCAAGCAATGCTCCAACTCCAACAGTCTGTGCATATCTCGGTCATCATCATCCTCCACAGGCCACATAGCTACGTAACATCCGCTAGGGTGATATGCAAAGGCTGCAACTTTGTTATCTGGTCCTCCCACATTCCTCTCATCAACGCTATACCGTGTTGCAGCATCAGCTTCGCACCCAACAGTAGGAAGTAGCTTTATCAATTTGTACGACAGAACACGTTCCTTTGATTCTGCTAGTGTAGGGCATTGCGTCTGCCAATCAAACACCTGAACTTCCCACTCCCTAAAGGCTTCCGGTACGACGGATTCAGGAAGTTCAATTGGTTTTCCTTCCTTTGTGAAATCTGCTCCGTGCCCGTCCCATTCCCCAGAAACATTTCTAGCGAACTCTGCCCAATCTATCATCGTATATAGACAGAAGAAGGAAATAGAAAGGAAACAAACAAGAAAATCATTAATTTTAGTATTATAATATATTTACTATAGTAAACTTGGACTCGGCTAACACTATCATATGTAATTGGGGCTTGTATTGGTTTACAGTTTTGGGATGACAGTAGATCCTAAATAAACACACGAACACAACAACAACAACAACAACAGCATCATCTTGAGCTTCAGTTGTGGTTAACAGCACAAAGCAAGGAATCGAAGGAAGAAATTAGAGAAATGAATGACTTACTACTGGAAATCGGATCCGATATCTTTTCCTCAACTTGGAAATCAGAGGTGACCTTCACTGCAGAGGCAGAAACAGAAACTAGTTTCTTACATGGGAGACGTCGAGAGGGAGATGCAGACTTGAGTATGAAATTAGGGTTTCGGAGGTTTAAAAGTGGGAAATTGTGAGCAATTAAGGTTTTATTGCGGGGAATAACGTTTGCAGAAACTACCATTTGCACACTCTCGAACTCTCTCTCTCCCCGCCTCTCCGCAAAACAAGAGAACGAGAGGGAGAGATAAAAAATTAGCAAAGCAAAGGTAAGGAACAATGAAAGGGGAGCAGCCAGCAGAGACACGAATGCGACACGTGTGAAATATTTTCTGATGATTGACCAATTGACCATCCTATCCATTCATTGATGATCAGCACACAATCGAATGGAGACCAGCAATTCCGTGCACGTGGCAGTTGAACTTTTTTCTGACATTTTACATAAGTACCGGGGGTTATGTGTCCACAAAATTCATTGCCATGCCTTTGACACGTATAAACCTGATAGTTCGAGCTCTGACATTGACATTCACCATTGTTGGAGGAGAGAGAAATAGGGGCTCCCCAAAGCAATCTTTCATGGCGTTTATGAGAGGAGAACCGCTGGTGGCAAAGCTCGCAGTGCTAGCGAGGTTCGTTGTTCTTCCAGGAGCAATGGCCGCTGCTCTGATCTATTCTCCTCAACAGGACCCCAACAAGAAGGGCCATACAAAGTAGTGTGATTCATCCCTTTCCAGGTTCGGTCTTTGGCTCTCCCGTTTCCATTATTTTGTTTAAGAGTTTGGGTTATGAATTTAGTTATCTGTTGCTTTTTAATGGTTTTGGTTCGTCTTTGTCTCTGGGTTTAAACGATCTTCTAACTAGGGTTTTTGTTTATTCTTTACATGGGTTTGGCATTCATTTATTTGCAAATTTTCTTCTTTTCTTTATTTTTCTGTGTATTATGTTGGTACATCAGCTTGTTATTGGTACTGCGACTATTATAGATTTTTCAATTGTCGAATCGAAAATAAGAGGAATGAATTAAAGGCGGATATTTCTATTTTAGAGTTGAATTGATCCCCAATTTGGCTGAGCTAATCAAGAGGGCTGAATGTGGTTGAAAAATTCAGAACAAGAAGGGTCGTCCTTCCGCACGGGATAACCTGGAAATAGCAGTAATATAGACTGCACCATACACTTCTTAAACTTGGTAAGATGAAAAGTAATCCTTAATTGTGTTCTCAGTTGATATAGAACCATGCTTTAGTTTGAATTTAGAATCTTGGGTCTCCGGGCCAGGCTAATAATGCTCATCCCTCGTCTTTTTGTATCTTTGTTCATTCTATTTTACATATTAATAATTTTTTTTTGGATTACTCACAAAAAAAAAGTTGAGGTACATATATGCTTCGATTGTGTTTGAATCTATAATAACCCAGAACTTGCACGCCCCCAGTGTATTGGTTTCAGACACAATATGTCTTGGGCCTTGAGGGGAGTCACGAACCATGAGGAGTTGTCAAACCGGGGGCTTCGTACACATACACGCACGTAAGACTTGTACACTAGAGATGGACACCACTTACAACCCAAAAGCCTAAGCTTTTGAATTATGGGCCACTCTTGTATATGTCTTTTGCACTTCTTGTGTCTTTCCAATGTGCGACTCTCTTTCATTCCTCATTCCATACACCTACTCACATGTGCATCCCAACAATATGTTGCCAATATGTCACCGGATACTGCATGTTGGTATCCATGTCACCGGATTGCAGGCATAGATAATTAGATATGGAATCAAATTCTACTAGAGCCATGCTTTCATGACTTCAAATGATTGTTCCAACCTAATTAGTTCTAATTCTGCTACAATGTGGATTTTGAATGCTAAAATCCCACATTTTTCTAAGTTTGCCCTGTTGTGGTAATGGTCACAAGTAATGGAATACAGGCTTCGATTCTTCCACAAATCCCAATTCTGCCCTGATCCAAACATAATCTTGTCATCTTTTGATCAGCAGCTAGCCATTTTAATTTGTTGTGAAGAGAGTGCAATCTTTTTGTCAATTATAATGCAGAGAAAGAGAAAAGGACAAAACATTAGAAAAAAATAAAAAATAAAAACCACACACACACAAAACGATTTTGTGGTTCTTAATTTGAGCAATTGTCCATGGACAAAACAAAATCTGAGGCCTTTGATTAGAATACAAAATCAACCTGTTAAACCTACAAAACGAAGCTACTCCAACCCCAGCTCCATGGACAATTGCTCAAATTAAGAAATATACCTACCCTAGGGGTATAGTTAGATGGCAGATCTATACCAGTTAAATCAACCTGTTAAATAGAAATCATACAATTTTTAGATGGCAGATCTATACCTACCCTAGGGGTCATGGCTTGGTGTAATGGTAAATTTCAGGCTGAAAATCAGGAGAACACTGGTCTTATCCAGTCCACCCTCCCAAGACCCCAAATAGCTGAGACCAACATTGGGTAATGGCCTTCTTATATGTCCTTTTCCCTGTCATTGTTATTACGAATCTGGAAAGCATTAAAAACTGAGTGAATTATCCTTGGTATATGGGGAGTCATCCAGTGGACATGATTAGGTGAGTGTGGTTGGGATCAAGTAGGGCCATATGCAAGTCTTCTGAAGGATCCATCTGCTGCAGTAGCATGAGGTAAATTATTGAGTTTTCTGCAAAAAGAAAGACATTGTTGTCATCATCATCCAAGTCTTATCCCAACTATATGGGTCAGCTACACGAATCCTATTTTGCCTATCCATTCTGTTTAATGCCGTATCCATTGTTAAATTATTGGTACTTAAATCATTCTTATTGCTTATACCCATGTCCTTTTTGGTCCACCCCTTGGCCTTCTAGCTCCTTCAACTTGTAACAAATCACTTTTTACAAGTGTTGTTGATTATCTTCTATGCACATGACCAAACCATTTTGGTCTACTTTTTTTTTTATCAAAAGGCGTGCCTCTAGCCACTCAGGTGGGGCGCATTTGAAGGTATGCACCTTGCCTAGGTGCTAGGCGCAGCGCTTTCAAAAGACGCATGCCTAGGTGCTAGGTGCCTTGCCTAGACACACTAGGCATGCACCTGGTGTGCCTTGCACTTCAGCCTAGAGTATGCCTTTTTTAATTTATTTGCGCCTTTTTGTTCTTTTTTGAACCTAACGGCTAGGCTGGGTGCTCCGCTGCTCACCAAATCTCCAAGAACTCCCTATTTGCTAATGTTCATTCATTTATCCTAGTAAAATATTTTCTTAAAAGACAATTAATATTATAAAGTCATTTATTTTGTGTAAGGATTAAGCATTTAATACCCTAACATGGATTTGTTTGGGCTTGCCTCGAGAGGCTTGGTACAAAGGTGGCTTGTAGAATCAAGAATGCAAGATGTTTTACATCACACTAGCTATTTGAACTAATGCAATTGAGGTAAAAGATAAATTGTGGGTTTTACATGCTTGAAAATGTTTTATATATTTAATTTTCTTTTTAAATTTTCATTTGAATACACTTTACATGTTATGCGTATGTATTTTAATTTTAGATAATAGGTTTTTTAAAGCATTTATTTTGAAACTAAAGTTTATATTTTTATTTATATTGTGATTAGTAATTTTTTTTTTATTTTTTTTATTTTTAAATTTTTTTGAAAAATTTTGCCATTTTTTGTATTTTTGCACCTTGCTTCGAAAGGGCACACATCTCACGGGTGCAAATTGCCCCTTGCACTTTTAAAACATTGATTTTATCACCTATTGGAGCTACTCCTACGTTCATATAAAAGACTTCATTGGAAAAGATATCACCTATTGATTTATCAAAAAAAAAAAAAAAAGACATCACCTATTGGAGTTACTTCTAAGTTCCTACAAAAGATTTCATTGGAAAGGGGAGACTCCTATACCCCAGATAGTTGCATTGAAGGCTGAGTTGCGTTGAATTGAGTTGAAATGAGTTGAGGGAGACTTTTTCATGCACTTAATAAGGACCATTAAATGGCTAGAATCTTGAAATAGTAAGGGGTGATTACCCGGTGATGATGTCAAGTTCTTTCAGAAAATCTCTTTTTTGACCCATATCTATATGTACCGCAAGAAAATGGAGTGCTGATCGAGTGTCTTTTAAAAGGGGTGAATGGGTGTTTTTGGTGTTTTGACACTTCTCTCTTTCCCTGCCCCCATTGTGGTTGGAGATTTTTTCCTGGTCCCTCTCTTCCCCTTGCCCCCATCATGGTTGGGGATTTTTCCTGGTCAAGGATACTTTGAAGGTGTTTGGTTCTTTTCTAAAGATTCATTCTTTCCTTGTGACATTGGATAAGATTCTTATGGTGTTTCTCATCATTCTTAGCAATGGAGAGTGTAAGGAGGAAAGTATTGGCAATCAAGATAAGTTCTATGCACATAACTGGCATGCATTGAGTTATGTTCCTTGAGGGATTGCTTGACAACCTGTAATGGAAAGGGAACTCTTGTTTATTTGAGAACAAAGCTAATGATGTGGAGGTTATTGAAGAGAGGTCAAATGGCTCTTGGTGCAGTGGTAAATCCTGTTTCAGTAGATTTTTGGAAGCCCTTCCTTGTAGGGTTTTGTGTGTATTCTCATCTCCTTTATCTATGATAGTAATAGACCTTTTCTCCTTTTGGGTCATTTGGTGTTAGTAAGTTGTAATTACAAAAAATCCTTTTGTTTTCCTTCATAGTCATGGCTCAGTATGATGTGTACCTATTGTTCCAATGTTTTCCCCCTCTATTTGTGTCTCCAAACTGAACTGGATCTTAACTGTTACAGTTGGTGGTTCATGGCTCAGCATTTCAACCATTTAGCCCAGACAGTTCATACCATGTCTCCATCCCTATGCCACTATTGACTGTATTGAATATTTCTAAGAGTTATATAAATCTATGGTAACTGTGGGTGTTAATGTTTTTCATATAGTTGATGCACGTGTAGTAGAGAGATCCCAAATGGGTTTTAGGAACCCCAATCTGTCACCTTTGAGGCCAGGGTTCTAATTCCTAGCAAATGGATGTTTAAAAAAAAAATCCATTTTTTAATACCTCTCCCTTAATAAAAGATAAATAAATAAATAAAATAAGAATAAATAAGAACATGAAGGTCAGTGGCTCCAAATCTTGGTTATTAGTATTAGTAAAGATAGAACTGACAACCCTTGCTTGGAAAAAGGGACCGATGATCATAATGCTACTGCAAAAGTAGTATGACAGTAACTCAGTAAGCTCAACTGCAAAAGTAGAAGAGTACATCTAAACTGTTTGGTTGTTCAGTCTGAACTGATTTGGTACCAAGGTATTGATTTCAAATGTATGATAGTTCAATACAGTTGGGAATGAAAATTCTCTCAGTATGAGGTAGACAAGTAGAAGTAAACAGCATGTAGTTTGAAATCTCCTATGCAGATGTTATAGCAGAAGTGAAACGGTAAATTGAAATCCTCTCCTTGTATGCTTTTATGCACAGAACTGTATGGATACACATTACACAGATTGAATTGTTCAACAGAAGTATGCATTTTTTCTTGATAAATAATTCCCATACAATGTCATTGCCACTCCAAATAGGAGCAGCTCCTCCATTTTCCAAAGGGCTTTGAAAAGAAAAGGTTATTTCTGTTACAAGTAGGTGTCGTAATTTGTAGTTTAGCGAGAAGGATTTACATAATCCTCACTTGTGCTGTATAACCGTATCTATATTTCACCCTGAACATATTATAGCTAACGGTGTTTTCTTTTTATGTTTTTTGTTTTAAGATAGGAATTTACAGCCACATAGGATGCAAGTTTCGACTTTGGAGTGCCTGAATAATTTTTTTGGGATGGCTGTGGTTTCAAGGTTATTTTTCTTGTTTTGCACCTAGGTTTTTCATTTTAGATGTGGGTAAAAAGACTAGTGCTTGTGTTGAGATTTGAATAAGAATGAAGACTTAAAAAAGTTTCTGCATTTGCATCTTGGACAAATGAAGATGATGTTCAAAATATGTATCTTTTTTTTTTTTTTTTGGCTTCGAATATTGAAAATGTAGATCTACTCTTGAAAACATCAATCGAATTGTAGCCAGTAACACCATCCATAACAGTTATCAACTACTAATGCCCAGAGAAACAGCAAAAGAAAAAAGAGTGGGGATGGGGTGTGGGAATTGGGCACAGCAAAGTGTGAAGTCATTTGTAGGGCCCAATTAGGTTGGTATTGGGCATATTGATATGGCAGGGAAATCGCATCTAGAAAAGTCGAAAGTTCGCTAATTTTGAGAGACACCCCCTCACGTGTTGCCTGCCAGAGAACGTGTGCTTTGTTGTTGTCGCCTTCCTTCTTGTGTTGAGAGAGAGAGAGATGAACAGAGTGTGTGAGGGAGGAAGATGCCAAAATGGCAAGTTCGTAAAGCCTGTGGGGATTCGTATCAAAAGACCCTGTATTCTTTGGTGAAGTGAAAGTATACTTTTGCTGGGGGGCGGGTTGGGGTTCGTACTACTCTCTCTCTCTCTCTCTGATTTGGACCCAGCTTCAAAATCCCGAATTCGTATTTATTTTTATGCGCTGATGGATGACTTCCACTACTAAACCAATGGAAAAAAGAAAAGAACAAACTGACATAAAGTTATTGGTGCATAATTGAATTGTAAATGGCGACAAAATTATGTGTATGGCAGAATTGTTGGACTTGGGCCTTTTGGGGTGGTTGTACACAGCAGATGGCTGCTGTTCAAGTCATCAAACCCAAAGTCTTTTCAGATTTAACTCATTGGCTACTACTACCAGGACACAGCACAAAAGAAATAATAGGCCCTCTGGTTTCTTCTTTTCTTTTCTTTTTATTTTTTGTTGTCTTTCAACTTCAAGCTCAAATTCTGCTATTTTCTATTCTTTACTCTTTTTTCCCCCCTTCTGATCTAATCTATCTATTGACTTTTAATCTAATATGTCTGAATCCAACTGATGAGTCTGTGTGTCATCTGATTATTTCCACTGATATGTGCTGATCAATCTTTACCAGATGTCCTGTTTGTGTTTCGTACTAAAAATGGTAATATGTGAGAATATCGTATAACAATTCTCTCTCTCTCTCTCTCTCTCACGCACATTTGAGGTGCTGCTGCTATTTACTAGCAAATGAAGAAGCGCCCATTTTGGCCACTTCTTAGTAAGGAAGGAATAGGAAGTGCCGAGTACCGACTAAACCGTATGACAATTTTGATTTAGAGGTTCCCTTCCCTGCCACTTCCATCATTTAATTTTCAAAACAGACCCAAGGAAGTTTGTTATGCGAATGATCTAAGGCTTGTTTGCCCCCTCAAACAAGTAAATCTCGAAGTCCAACCTAACACCTAAAATGCTGTATTGATGATCGACTGATATGATGCTTATTTACTGATACATTGCAAAATTTTGATCCATGATGATGATGATGTGTGGAAGAGAAAGAGTTATTTTCTTAAATAAATAAGTGATGCCTACCTGACCTGACAAGCGTCTGCAATGTGCATGTAAGTTTAGACGGAATTTTGTTTCAAGCTCACAACCATTTTGTCTGTACTGTAGGCCTGTAGCCATTCTCACTCACTCCAAGTCCCATGCCCATGTTCCATGCATGCATGCTTACTAATTCCACAATGCTATGCCCTGACCTAAATTCCGTCTCAATTCATACCCCCCAGGAGTGGGAATAGGACTCCCCTGTCCTCATTCGGTCATTCCTGACTTATTTTTCATGTTTTTTGTATGTATTGTATCATTGTATGGCCCCCTTTCTTTAAAACTTTGATCCACTCTCTTTAATTTTGTCAGAATCCTACGGTCCACAACTTGGTACTCAATTCGGTCAATCAAGTCAAGGCTCATGAAAGCCCATGTCCATTTATCCCAACCTCCGGACCTACATGTCATGACTCATGACTTGAGAAGCTTTGTTTTGCATGGTAATGTAACACTTAACAACTTAACCATTAATGAATGCCATATCCCCCATGCATGGTGCATGTGCATGTGCATGTAGCATGTCATTCACACACACACACACAAAAGACATGCATATTCACTTTTCCTCCCAAACAAGTGACAAGGTAGGCATGAAGAAATCTTCTGGTCTTGCTTAGTCCTTTATTACTTTACCCTCCAATCTCCATGTCTTTTTTTTTTTTTTTTAAGTTCATATCCTCAATAAATCACAATCGACATGCATGCATGCATGTGAGTATATATGGTGGCATACATCATCGACATACGATTAGAAGAAAATAATGGCGATGGGAGAAAGGGAGGAACATACGCATTATTATGCCACACCCAATTCGCGTGCTTACATGCATTCATTGCAGCTTGTGACTTGCGAGTTCAAACCATCAATTATCTTACAAATTTGAGGTGACGTCCAATGATATTACGCCAATCCTATCCTATCGTTGCTGTCACATCACAGTCACAGACACCCCAACCCTTTCACAGTGTACACAGGCAACAGTCGCGCAGAACAGAGAGAGAGAGAGAGAGGAGTAGCCGGAGCAGGCCCAGCCAAAATCCAAAGGAAGCAATATCAATATATATAACTTGCGACAGTAAGTCCTAAAAACAGCGGAAAGTCTCCAAAATACATATATAAGGAAGGATAGATCAAAGAACAACTACTCCCCACATTTACAGTAACAGTACAATCAACATAGTGATATAGATTCTATAGATGGAAAGCAATCCGCATCCTAAGGTCCACATTCTCCAAGGCTTCTGATGGGAGGATCTAGCACCATCTCAAAGCCGGCTCTGTTGAAAGCAACTGAAGTGGACGTCTCATGAACACTGTCTGCAACAGCCGTGAACCCCACCACCCCACCACAACCCATCTCGAAAAACATGGGGTTTTGACACGGGCTTTGGTGAATTTTATCCCCCCAGTGTAAGTTAGCATCCATTGGTTGAAAATGGGAAAGCATGGACTCTGTCTTGCACTGTTTGTGAACAGCAGATTCCTTCAAACTGCACTCTTGATGTGAGAGAAGCGACTTGATCAGGAGGTTGGATTGTGATGGGTTGTTGGGGTTTATGGTGTTTGGTGAAAAGGAGGCCTCCTGCAAGCTACTCATTGTGGAAACTTGGGGCTGATGAGTCACGACTGGGTTTATTAGGAATTCCAGCTCAGTAATTCCCTGCTGCTGTGTAACGAAATAAGGGTTTTGGAGGCTCTGAATTCCCATTAGTGTCACTTGGGGTTCCATCTGTGGAGGCAAGGAGGTTGATGGGGACGAAAATGTTTCTAAGAGGTAGCTTTGTGCTTGGAAAAACGAGCTTTTCTTCTCTCCTGTTTTGTGAAATATTCTGCAAATAACCCATTCCTCCTGCAATTTTATTTTTGCTTGCTCAAGTAAGTCAAATGGATGTTCAACTAAACCTTTTTTTTTTGTTTTGTTTTGTTTTTTGACAAGTATTAAACTAAAACTTAAAAGACATAATAATTAGATGAAAAAAAGGCAGGAAAAAGTGAGTGGAAGTGTAAAACTGAACTGAATTTTTATTTATTTTTCCTTTTTTTTTTTTTCAAAATCAAAGCAGGCCAACCAGAATCTAAACAAGCCAAAACGAAAACTACGAATAACAATAATAACGATTTCTACTACTAACGTCTTGCATGTGCCAATGAGCACAGCATAAGCTACTTTTGTATTATTGTCTAAACTGTTAGGCCGAGAGAGAGAGAGTGAGTGATGAATCTACCTTGCACGTGTGATGATATGCGAAATCACCATCTAGGCGGTACTCGTGCATGACCCACTTGGTCTTCTCACCTCGGGGAGCTCTACCCTTGTAGAATACTAGGGTTTTCTTCATGCCAAGCAGAGCTCCATTTGAGGCACTGTAAACCTCCCTGTCTTTCCCTGTGGCTTTCCAATACCCAGCTTCGGTTGCTCGGTTAGTCCTCAAGCCGGTTGGGTACTTTCGATCTCTCAAGCTGAAGAAATACCACTCTCTCTCCCCCATCTTGGCTATGTCTGAAAAGTCAAAATAAAAAGAAGGAAAAAAAGAAAAGAAAATAATGACATAAATAACAGTAGACAATGCTATAACTATCTCTGTCTCTCTCTTGATTTGGTTGTGGTGTCAGAAAATTTTCCCAACTTTGAGATGGATTTTCATTCTAAAAACGAAAAAAAATGGAGAGAAGAGGATATCAGAACTTCAATAGTTTAATCCATACTCTTGACAATGACAGAAAATATTAAAGAAATAATGACACAAGGAAAGAGAACCAAGTTATCAAGATATTCTTAGGGTTCTTGCTTGAAAGCTCTCCCGAGTCCCAACTTAACAAGAAACCCCATATACAAGAAAAGGGACAAGTCATTTTAAGTTCTACATGCTTTGCAGATAAAGAAAGTGAAGACATAAATCATTCTCTTTAGTCTTTACACTTTACAGAAAAAGATGTCTATTTCAAATTTTGGAATGCTATCACGCGAAGTAAAGATATAGACCATAAACGAAACACAAACAGAAGCAGTTTCATGTAAGCTCTTAAAACCCATGAAATAAACAAAGAAAAGAAAGAACATGAAGAATATTTATTTCTTCGATTTTGTTTTTTTTTTCACTTTCTTCATCAATCATACCTGGAAGCTCCCATGGTTCACATCTATTAAGGTCAACCTCTGCAATCTCAACACCGGAGAAGCTCCCTTTAAACACCTTTGAAGCCAAATAAAAGGTTATAAGCTCTTCATCAGTTGGGTGAAACCTAAACCCTGGAGGCAACCCTTGCTCGTTGGTATCTTCTCCATGCACTTCACATAGGATTTCTTCCATGGCTAACATCAACACAGCGACACTATACGCTGCTCGCAACGCAAAAAGCTATCGAGAGAGGGAGAGAGAGAGAGAGAGAGAGAGTACGCTTGCGATGTAAAAGCGAATATAAACGAATGAGTGGTAGTATATATAGAGAGAAGCACTGAAACCGAAGATAGGGTAAAGTTATTAGGCTGGGCAGATTTGGGTTCATTAAAGGCTATGAAGGGCCTGCAAAAGTGCACCTGAAACTTGAAAGGATCCCAAAGAGGCAACAAAATAGAAAAGAGAAGGAAATTAAACCAAGAAACAGGGGGGATTAGGAAGTAAATGTAGAGTTGGTTGCAGAGATTATATATTTATGCGTGCGTGTGTGAATGAACATGGTACCGAGAGCTTTTTCAGAGTGGAGTTACACATTTACACGAGGGAAGCTGCAGCCTGGAGATGAGATGAGATGAGATGAGATGATGACTGTTATTAGTCATTGCCAACTAAAATAAATAGTTGATAACAGTAGCTCCTGTTGTTTACTTGTTTACTCATCAGTACTAAGTAGTAATGTGTCGCAGAGGAGTTTTGATCTTTATAGAAGTTGGCCAATTCCCATTTGGGGTTTTGGGTAGGCCTCGGGTTGACCCGGTTAGAAAAAAAAATGATGACTGTGACAGAGCTGACCCACTCTCTCACTTCCCGCGTTGTAAAAATTGGGTGACAGTTGGTCCGAACCGAACCCAGGCCGACGTGATCTGCGAAATGGGAATGGCACTGGACCATTATTTTCATGGGAGACATAGGTCTTTGAAGTTTGAAGTGGGATCTCTGGTTAAGGTGGTTGATAGTGATGGATTTCGCAAATGTTAGACAGACAGGGAAGCTAGTGTGGATCCATATATAACTTTTTAATTATAGAGTCAATCAGTTCGTGCATAGGATCTGTTATCTGTATGTTAAATGTACCACCCAGACCCAGACCCAGACAATAAGGTTACTTACTTTCTCAATGGGCCACACCCGCCATCATTCTCTTCTTCTTTCTTCTTTCAACTCAGTCTCAAACAATTATTAATTTACTTTAATTAAATGTTCCCCAAACCACCACCTTTTTTTTTTTTTTCTTTTTTCTTGCTTGAATAATATCATTTCTTCTGTGTTTGTTTCGACTTTGGACGAAAAGGAGGGGGAAGAAACTACAAATTGGGATGGGAATGATGGCGAATTCCCAATGATCGGAGAGAGAGAGAGAGGGTGGGGGTAAGGGAAGGGGAAACTACAAATTGGGATGGGAAAGGTAATAAATGAGGTAGCAGTAATTCCGTACAAGAGGCAAAATTCCCAATGATCTAACCGTGGGATCCTTGATTCCCAGGAAGATTCCTGGGGATCTAACCGTTGGATTTTGGTCCCTTCCTCCCGTTCTCCCTGCTGCCTGCATTAACTTGCATTGTTGTCGTTGGTAGCAAGTAGCGATAAGTGGGGAGATGGCCTGGTTGTAGCAGGGGACCCAACCTCATCAAATGGTCAATGCATGGTTTCAGATCAATATTTAAGCATTCTATTCTATCCTTTTCCACTTGAATTAGGATGTCTGATCTGATGCATGTGTGAGTAATGAAATGACGAGTAGTAGTGGAGATGAGATGGGCATGTAAATATCAAAAATTAAAATGGGTTTACGCACACTATCAAGACGGCCGGGGGGCTAGTAGTCCGTTATGGAAAGGTTCCCCTCTGTCTCTGCTGTGGCCTGTGTGTTCGGATCCATCCCATATGGGGTTGTGCTCTTACAAAAGCCTACACAATTAATACATGGTAGTAGTAGTTACAAGCAGTTTGTTTTTCTTTAATTAATGTTCGTTTACAGCATAATAAATAATAAAATAATATTAAATGTGTGACAGGGATGCTTCGTGTGCAGTGAATTTGTATAATCAGACCGTGTCTGATTGAACTCGAGACCCACCAGCAACTAAATAATGGGTCCAGAGACGAGAGAGGCGGTGGACTGGGATGTGTCGTCAAGTACTGCATGTTTTGATGTATGTATATATATGGCAGTTCGCAAATGGCATGAGGTTGTAGAGAAAAGAAAAGGAACAGGAGACTGGAGACGGAGAGGGTGGTGACCCAACCCAAGTGTGTTGGTAATTGGTGAGGGTGAGGGTGGGGGTGGGGGGCCACATTGGGCGAGGGGGTGGGTGGTGAAAGGCAATAAATACCAAGGATCTGTTGGAAGGACGGACTGGCACACCGCCACCACCTGCTTTTCACGGTACGTAAGTCCACACACAGAGATAGAGAGAGAGAGAGAGAGAGAGACGGTGGAGGAAGCAAAGTCAGATCCCCACATTCAATTCTTCCTTTTCGTCTTCTCTCTCTCTCTCTCTCTCTACGTGGATACACTCTACGATGCATACACAAATAATGCGGTGTTAATTTGCATGCAGAATTACATTACAGATAATCGAGATTGGATTGTAGATTTCAATCATAGACCTCGATCTCTCTGCAAATCCATCGTCCCTCGGTGCCCTTTTGTTCCGTACTTGTCCAATAAAGAAAACGACCAAATGAATGAATATCCCATTTTGTTATAAGTAATCTCTCTCTCTCTCTCTGTATTATATATATATAAAGAAAAAGTAAAACGCTTTCGGCTTTCTAAGACACTTACAAAAAGAAATATCATTCCGCTGGAACTGGAAGCTTTATAGGCCTGTTGAATAATGACGTGCCGGCCGATGCAGAGATATGATATGCAGCCAAAGACCGACAAAGCCCAAGCGAGCAACAACTAGACATCTCTCGTGGGGCCGAGAGTTTGAACTTTGAAGCCAACTGCATGCATGATCAGGCTCTCTGATCCGACGACCCAGTTGATAGGGCTGTCCACATAAGCATTATGGCCTGTGGGTAGCCTACAGGAAAGCCTGCTTTCCTTAAGCCAATAGTACTAGAAATGTGAATTTTAGATTTTAGAAAGCCCTCATGGTCAAGCGGCAAATTTTTAACGTTGTCTTCACTCAACATTTCTAGTTTCTAGATAAATAACGAACCTATTATAGAACTTGCTGAATTTTCTATATCAATCTATTATGGATCCTAGAGGTTGAGGGTACATACTGTATATATGTCCACTTGCCTAGATAGGTTTAGGAAATATTTTCTATGTGGGCTTCTGGTTCTTTATTTCGATTCTTTACAAACAATGTATAAGTATCTTTATCTTTTCCTTCAGACCAAACATAGCATAAATGAACTTAATTCCTTACCGGCCTAGAAATGAAAAATCCCATACAGCTAATGGCCCAGGAGCCAGGAAGACGTCTAGTCAATTTGCAGAATGTACTGTCTGATATCAATCAACCAACCCTTCTTGCTAAATGCTAGGTGGCCTTATCTTATGTGGTTAATAAAAAAAAAAAGTTAACTAGAATTAGAGACACAAGGTGAAATATGGTGGGCTTCCCTAAATTGTAAATTCATTAACGCACTTGGGCAGTGATTGAAGAAGCTTTTCCTTGTCAAATCCCCTAAAATTAATTAAGTTGGTAAGTGGCCGCCCTAACTAACTCCCCACCAGACTATGGCATTGGCATTCTTGCTCGCTAGTTGCTGCAGGTTGCGTGTTGCATGCAAATGTCCATCATATCTCTTATCATGCCTGGATTTGGAACCAAATACTTGCTGTCATGGGGTTAAGCCTTTCCAATAAGGATTCAGGAGCCTCGATCTCGATCGTCAGGACGTGTGGTTAATTAGTTAGCAATAGCATGGCTTATCATGTTCCTACCTAGCTACTCCTTTCTCAACTATATAGACGGTAGATCTGCCAACCTCTAACCCAACTAGAGCTCTAGCTAGCTATGTGAATTGTCTCTCAAGTCCCAACGTCCCCCCAGGCCCCAACCCATCAACTCTTATATATAGCTAGGCCTGATTATGGGCTACGGCTCAAACAGATGACTACGCGCTCTGTCGTATGTGGTAGGCCAAAACAATTTGAGTGAGTGGGATAAGAATTAGATATCCCACTTCATAAATTCTTCTTACTGAGACGAGTTGGGATTAACCAATGTGTTGGATGCCTTGGAGACGCAAAGGAGGAGGGATTTCCAAATTCCGATGAGCGTGAGGGAGGGAGGTGCAAGAGAGCTCGCAATAGGGTGCATGTGCCAGACGCCAGAGGCTGGGCTTAGAATTTAGAAGCGACGTGACAGGTCGGATACATTCGTGCACACGCCACATCCATACTAGGAGCATCAGTTTACGTAGGCATGGAAATGCAACCCATTACCATTAAACCTAAGATTTTTTTTTTGAATAGTAAAAACCCTTAGGTTTATATATAGGTGGGGTCCATCTATCTTTTTTACTAGTAAAACCCCATTACCATTACTCTCATCTGTTCTTATTTCGTCGTTTGGTTGTAACGCCTTCTAAGTTCTAACAGCTTTTGCTTTCTTTTGTCTTTTTTTTTCTTCCCACCTGTATGGCTGTATCTATATCTTTATTAATGTACAGACTGACCTGGGGCAACCTAGACAAAGAATAGAGAGACCAAAAATCTGTTCCTAGTCATCCTCTTCTCCTCCTCCAACAGTCCAACCAACCAACTCCTTTCACCCGCCTTTAATTCTCCAACGGTCAATCAATTTACTGTGAACTGTTCCCCCTTTCTATCTCCTCCTTCCCTCCCAGTCCCATTCCCATATAAACGTAGAGGAATGAAAAACATAACATAATAACTAGGAGATCAATGTCCCAAATCGTTCAAAGATACTCCACATTTAACATTACACCTGCCTGCAGGAGTGCAGGGTCCATAGCTTACTAACTAATTCCTAAGTTATACTTGGAAGATGGAATTATTAGGATTCAAAACTCTCCACATGGTGGTTTCCCTTGTATCAAGTTTCAGATGTTTTGCCATCTGGCATTATTTGAAGAAAAAAAAAGACGAGGTGATTGAAGGAAGCTTAAGGAATAATGTTAATATAGGATTTGTAAGGGCGAGTTAAAGAAACTAATCCCAATGGGAAGAAGGCAATCTACGGATTCTACTATCAGATAGACTGACCGACTGGTTCTGCCATGTCAGTATTCCAGATGGAAAAAGGTCTCTGTTACATAACAGAGTTGAGGGAAGAGAGAATTCACTGATGAGTTTTGAACAACAGGCATTCAAGTGGATGGGGGAGAAGTAGCTATCATAATTCATCGATGAGGGTCAAAATTCAAGAACAAGGCCGTGTAAAGCATCAACTATCTTCTTGGTTTGTACGACAGTATCTCTGTAACTAAGAATGCAGAAAGTGTATTAATGGCCGCTCTGTTAAAATACGACAGAAACCTAGACAGAGATTGACCGGGGTATGGTACAAAATATGGATGGAACTCCCACATTTATTACTGTTATTATGCCACGTAACCACTCGGAGTCGGGATCTACTGCTCGTTTTGCTGTGTATTGGTGTGTAAGTTAGGGAGCTTCCCTACACCAGCCCACCTATGTTCCTGTGGCCGAACCACAAA